TAGCCAATAAGCTTACAGCTTCTAACATGTTCATTGATTACCGCGTCGCATTTTACTCGCAGTAAGCATTTCCGCGTCCAGTGTATACAGGAGCCATATCACGTGACTTATTTTGACGCCGAAAATAAACGTCTAGCGTCAGCATGAAAAAGTACCTTTAGGCCGGAATCAGACTAGGCATTGAAGATTGAGATTGAAGATTGAAAGATTGAAATTTGACCAATTAAAACAATAGGAGCTAAAATTCCTTTGCCCTCATTGGTCAAATTTCAATCTTCAATCTTCAATCTCAATCTTCAATGCGTAGTCTGATTCCGGCCTTAGGGTACGTTTTCACCCGACGCTATGACGCTGGATTTCAACGTCGAAACATCATAGCATTAAATGGATTAACGCTAGCATTCTGTCTATGCTGGCGTCAAAACGGCCTAGCCGTCATTTTCTTAACTCCGTTAAAAAAATGTCATTGAATCAACGATATTTCGAATGGCAAAGAAAATGTTTAAAAATAATAAATTTAAAAAGAAGAGAAAAGAATAAGAAACGTGTAATGGCCTGTGTTGCACTGATTCATGAGAAGGAAAGAATTCAGAAAAGACAGTATACCAAAAAATGTTATTGGGTTGCGCTGTTATTTGAAGATAAAAAAAATTGCACGGTTTTTCCCTGCCGGAAATTCTCAATAGAAACCGATAAATCTTTATACGAGATTTATCTGTTCTTATGAGAAATTATTTGGATATATTTGGCTGTATCCGCATAGAAAAATTTCTACTACAATATCTTACATGTTTCTATCCGCATCAATTGTAATTTGAATATATCTACGAATGCTGATAGATAATTTTTCCGAATTTATCGTAATTAATCAGATGTATTTGCATTACCATGCATTTGCGAATGCAGAATTTAATCGTACCTATATGCCCTTATACGTATCATTTGATGTTCCATCGTACCTGCATTTTACGAAAAAAAATTGTATCCGAATGTATTAGCATGTATACGAATACCAGTATACATTCATATTTGCGTATATAGGATATATCGGTCTGTGCTTGCGTAGCATGGTCGTCACCAGGTATTGGAATCTATCCACAGTTTACGAACGTATTTCTATCTGCGCCTATACGAATTTGCGTTTTATCAATTCGTACGCATTTGCAAATAGCCCGTATATGAGTATGGAACTGCAATGCATGGAGGATATTCGTAATACGTTTCTATACGTATAGCCGTGCATAAAGTTTCCCTGCAATTGCACTCTTTCTAATGTTCCGGATTGTAATTGTAATTACGAATACAAGATTCATCGATTTTATTTGCGTTTGGGCAAATGTCGTCAGGTAGTGGAATCTATCCGCAGTTTACGATCGTATTTCGAACAATCTTTCCATTTCTATTCCTAATCTAAAATTTTAAAATTTAAAATATTTAACCAATTTGGCGAACGGCAATTCTATGTCGATTCTTATTTTAAGACCGTCCTAAGTAATCTCCTAAGACGCTAATGTGGTCCTCGGTATATGTAAGGAAACAACGTCTTTTTCGGGTAACGTAATGAACAATAATAATCTCATTTTTTGACCGATAAATTAGAGCCTTATGTCGATCGAAGTTAGATCCCAAAATGCTTAAATAATTATTACAGTTTTTTGGGATGCACGTGGTATAATTCATATCGATTACCTTCCATCGAAGCAAACGATCAATGGCGATTATATTCAGCCTTATTGGTAGAAGTACAAGGGTATGCT